TTTTTTTTTTATAAATTTCATTATTTTCTTTGAGTTAAGTAAATTAGCTTATCGCCAGACGAAAATTATCGCACCAAAAATACTAATTATAAACAATAAATAAAAAAAAAACTTTTTCAGCAATACCACTAAAAGAAGTCAAAGACACCAAGAATGTCGCAATGATCGTGACATCTCGAGGAGGACATATAGGTTTTCTTGAAGGTATCTGGCCGGTAAGAGAAGAACAGTACATGGGAAAGGTGTTCGCTCAATTTTTTACAGCAGTTTTTACAATTGGTCAGGACCATCCAGCCTTCTACTAAATTAAAATCAATCTACACCTCTTCTCTCTTGGCTCACCTTGCCGAATTTGTACAAAAAAAATTTAATACTATCCAGTATGCGTTTTTACTTGATTTTGAAATGTACATTTAGTCATACATATATACGCAACTCGATTATTCCCTCCTACCAAGATTTTTGTACTAATGCATTCGTACCTAATTATTAACTAATGTAATATTTAAAGATTTTTACACTGTTTTTTTATCACTTTTGCATATTATTAATTTTAAAATTTATTAAATTCTGTTGTGTAGTAACAAATGTTTAGTGTGCCGATTTTGTAAATATCTGTAGAATTTTTGTCTGCGAGCATAAATTAAAGTGCCTAATAACAATTTTTTTCTTTCATAAACTATAAAACTCACATTCCTTATTTTCTTAATAATTGTTAAGAGGTTACATTCTTTNTCAGTACATTAGCAAAAATAAATTAATGATTATTTGCATAATTTAATAATCCAATCAAAAATGACTAATGACTAATAAAAATTCCGAAAAAAATTTCATCAAAAAAATTATAAATATGGTAATATGAACTTCTAAATGTTTTCCAGGGCCAAATAAAAAATTTTTTTAAACTATCTTGTATCACTAGAGTTAAGAAAAAAGGCTTAAACTCCAAACACATTCAAACGGACTGAACATTTTGGACTCAAAAAATTCTCTAAAAACACGTATTTCAAAAAAATTACTAATAAATAAAAAAAGGAATTTTCAGCCCACCCTGAAATTTGTTTCATTTAAATTATAATTGCAATACTTTTTTATTACAAGCACATTACAATGAATCAATTATTAGAAGCTTACTATAACTTGTAAAATATAATGAATCTTGGTAATTGTCTACATACCAAATATAAATACATGAAAATCGATGCAAAAACGATTTTTTAGCGATGTAATATCGTGACTGCAGAAAAGAAAAACCTTGAGAAAAACAAGTGACTTGTACTCGAACTTGTACTTCTGTTAACTTCATTTTCGTTTAAATCATAAACAAAATTCGCTAAACAGTAAACAATTTTAGGTATAAAATCTTTTTTCGGAAGTGTTAGTAGTCATTAGTCATTCTTGATTGAATTATTAAATACAAAATTATTAAATTATGCAAATACTCATTAAGTTATTTTTTTTGCTAATGTACGAAAAAGCGCATGGGAAATAGTTACAGAACAAAAGAGAACAAAAGAGAACTTACGAGTAACAGAGAGAAGCCAGGAGCACAGCGAGAGTACAGTGAGAGCAGAACTCGAGGCTACAGTGGCACACTACAGTTTCTGCTTACCCCCAAAACTCGAACTTCGATACTCATTCCCTGCGTTCTGCTCTCACTGGCTCTAGGTTTGACAGCAAGTTCTCTTTGCTTCTCTTTAGTTCTCTTTGGTTCGCTGTGCTGCTCTCATAAATACTCTTGCTTATTTCTTAAGTTCAATTATGTGCTCAATATTTTTATTACGGTGTACCAAGCTGATGAGAGCATAAGAGAGAACTACAGAGCTTCAGAGAGAACACGTAAGAAAACCTCCAAAAAATTCAAGAGAATTTGTGGGATAATCCAAGTGCGCGGCCCCTCGGAAAAATGCTATGGAAAAACCGTTCGGAAACAAGAGATGGAGAGAGAGAGAGAAAGAGAGTGTGACTCAGGCTCGTACCACGTGAGCAACGTATAGGTATGCCTATAATATATGCAGCCCAAGTCGGACACAATCGGCTCTCACCTATATATAATATCTCCTTCTCCTCCTTCTCCTTTATTGAAACATGCGCTAATACACAAAACAGAGAATAGAAGAACTCCCTACCCATCCCCGGGACTATGGATATTATATACTTGAGTATATTGAATTGTATTATATAGTTTAGTTTGTTCTACAACTCATATTACATATATATGGATACGTATTTATGTGTGCATACATACTACTACATACCTGTTAGCGCTCTATCTGTATGTATATCTTTCTGTTCGTATTTTTCTCTCGCTTATATTAACGTTATATTCCTTCGCCTGTATCGTCGGCACTCAGTTGTCCGAGTTCCTTCGGAGCACATGGTTGCTTTGCCGTGTATGTTCGAGCGGCACTTGGAATGTGTATTTATTCTTTTTTGTGCAATTAAATTTTTTTTTTTTTTCTTTTTTTTTCACTGTAATTATTTACTCGAGTTGGTGTCTCTTTGTGTGTGGGTATGTGTTGTTCGTGAACAAGTGGGATGTAAGTGATCGTGTTGTCGATGGAGATGATTAAATAATATTTTATACAGGTGTGTGTGTGTGTGTGTATATAGTTTGGTTAAAAATAAATACGAATACAAGTGAGAGTATTATCGTTATTGATTCACGACTTTAAGTGGCTTCAAGACGCAGATAAGGACCTGTGTAACATGAAAACACACCGTATTCAATTTCTAAAAATTGATTTCTAAGAACGTCAGCCCGGACAGACACTAATTAGGTACGTCAACTCTTTATTGCGATATTCTTGAATTTAGTAAAGTTTGAAGAATTAGTTAAACAACATTTTTTTTTTATTCACCGTCTATCCGAGAAGCGATAAAAATACGTTTGTTAATATTGTTTTCTCGTAATAGTTCAAATAAGTGTAGTTAAATCATCAACTAATTAGAGAAGAAGAAAAAATAACAAAGAAAGTCCTTGCGAATATTAAAGATAATTGAACAAAATACATAGAGCAACAATAATTTATCAAAATGTCCATTAAAGAGCCACGTATGCCGAACTAATAAAAGTTTAGTTTGATAAGATAATGTGAGACGGAACTTGGGTAATCGGGTGCTTGTAAGTAAATTAAAAAAAAAAAAAAAATTATTCTAACTAGTATCTTTTTTGCCTGGCCAATTAAACGTACGAAACATACATCAACTGATTCACGATTTACTACAAAATTTTTACGCTTGATAGACTAAGCACATAAAAATCGTAATCGTTGTAGTTGTAAATTTTAACTCAAAAGACCGCCCCGAGGAGAAAGTGCGTGCTTTGAAATATGAAAATCGCTGGTGCAGTTGAAATAAATTAAATTCCTGGCTTTTCTTCATAAAA